TATTCGAAAGCTAAAATAAAGAGTACAAACATTCACAAATCAACAAACCAGAAGAAGACACAAATTCGACAAGTGGTATTTAACTCATTAAGCATGACCCTTACCCTTGTCCACCCTTGAACATCGTGCTCCTGAGATACGTACTAATAGTCATCGTTACAAAGCTCAACAAGTTCATGGTTTTTATGCACAAACCATACATGTCCCATCATGCACAATAACAAACAAAATACTCATATGCATATCTGTTTCAAAAAGCCCTTTAAATAAATTCAAGATATCATAAATTGTCCATCGGGTAAAGGCTGTACCATCACAAACTTCTCTGGATTATATGGCTCACCCTTGTCCCACCATTCGTCCCTAGGATGCCTTCCCTTTTGATATATCGACCCAAATCTCATACCCGATTAAACCCATCGAAAAACAATAACCCATTTATGGCAAGCTAAATAATATTTAAAAAAAAACAGTAAACAAATAGCATGCAACCCACAAAATAAAATTACATACATGCATCAAATGCCTATAAACATGTACATAAAAATAATATCATACGTAACATATGTATTCCAAATAATTCTCATGCTCAAGTAACTTATACATAAGTATGCATCCTAGTAAAAGTCTCATGAAAACTTACATGTACGTGTAGGCCGATTAAAGTCAACACCCGAATCGATAACCTACAATTTCATATCATTAATTTTTTAACCTTCCAAAAGTCAACTTACGGTCAGTCCTTGGTCCACCTCAAAGTATTAAGCAGTATAATACCCCATAATGTCTAATTAATATTTATAATTAGACAAATTAATTGCTCCAATTTTAAACATCCCAATAAATCGTAAATCTCGTATTACAACACTTAATATTATTATTAAATCATATAATATAAATTAAAGGATTGAATAATCTCCCTTAAAAAATAGCTAATTAAATTAAAGTAATGGTCTAAAATAAGTTAACATATTAATTACATAAGAATTTAAATTAATATAATAATTAAATTATAAGTTAAATTAACTACTTAAATAAAACCTAATATAATTAATAAAACCCCAAATAATTAAATTATTTCCTCAATAAAATTTGACCAACCCCAAGTAACTAAGAGGTTATTTACCCAAATGCTTACCGGTAAGTGCTTACCTATATGAGTCAACACTATAAGTTATTTTGATGATAAGATTTTAGTACATTGAAACGTATTGAATACAAAATTAACTAGGTAAGCGCTTACCTGGGTAAGATTCGTAATCTTTACTTGCCGGTTAAGACTCTTCATCATTCTCATCGCTCTTACCCGGTAAGATTCTTGGACATTGTCATGTTATTCCGATAAGAAAATTTATTCGGTAAGCACACTACCAACTAAGCATTCAGTAAACGGCCTCTAAATAACTAATCAGAACCCAAAAAGAATCAATAAAAGGTGCAACTTTTGAGTCTTGGGGCTTCTTTAATAATCTGAATCTATAAAGAACTCAAAATATTCAATAGCTACTTTACCTTTAAAAAAAAGTATTAAGAGTAAAAATCTTTAAAAAATCATATCAAACTTCAATAACTACTTTATTTTAATAATTACAATATTAGCTACATAATATAATACAAATATTTAATATATTTGATAAATATTATTTCTCTCTCATAAACATGTATCTTCAATACCTTTTATTGGTGAAAAAAAATTAAAATATTATGTATCTCTACTAATATATATATATATATATATATATATATATAGGGTCAAGTTCAAATGTTAACAAAAGTTTTTGTGTTAACTTTGTTAACCGATCTTGGTCATTGAATCTTTCAATAAACAGTTTTGATTAAACATTATAAAAACATATTTTTTTAAATTTAAAATTTCATAAAGATAAGTGAACAAAGTTAAAAAAAAGGTATTTAAGTAGTTTTTCTTTTTTATGTAACTCTCATATCATTAATTGAGAGTTACAAAATAAAAAAATCTCATGATTTTTGTTAGTGTAAGAACCATATGAGCACAACTATATATATATATATATATATATGTGTGTGTGTGTGTGTGTGTGTGTGTATCATTGTGTCAAATACAAACAAAAAATTGACATATATATGAACTTGGACTGCATAGCATTTATGAACATAATAAAAATAGTTGTTATACGAAAGGAAATAAATAAAAAAACAGGTATGTACACAATATGAACAACTTGTGAACAATAATTTCTTCATTATGAACACATTCAGGAGCGATCTTTTGTCAATTGGAGTTTTATATATGCATTGCATCCACGCCGTTTAAGATTCGTATTACAGTATCTCCTTTCGCCGGACTGAAGAGCTATAGAATCAAAATACTTTTTAATTGGTATTCCCTCCCTACTACATACAAACCATCTTGTTTGTATGTCTCCGTTCTTGTTTTTTTTTTTGGCATGAAGACGAACATCAAACCCGACATTGTCCGCGTACGTCATGTACATCTTTTCCGCTTCATTTATAGATATGAATTGTGCGTTGATCTTTGGTTTAAGCTCGTCATTAACATTGGTGATAAAATATTTGCTTCCATTTGAATACTCTCCGACATCGTGCTTTGTTTCATGTTCGGAGGGTGTAAGTATGTGAACACCTATTGATACCTTCATAATTAGTAAAATCAATGAACATTAATATTACATAACTGGAGTAATCAACTACAACAACCAAAAAATAGATTTATTTGGTGCGAGTTGGAGCAATCATTAATGACCATGAGATGATTAATGTGAACATATATGAACATGAACATATATGAACAACAGGTGAGATCTATTTGATTCGAGTTCACAAGCTGTTCACAGACTAAAATAATTGACATGAACATATATGAACAAATTGTGCATAGATTTAGTTCGTGCGAGTTAGATCAATCATTAATGACCATAAGATGATTGATGTGAATATATATGAACATGAACATCTATGAACAACAAGTGATATCTGTTTGGTTCAAGTTCACAAGCTGTTCATAGACAATTGACATGAACATATATGAACAAATTGTGAACATGATCAAACCACATAGGAAGAGAACATCGTATGTTCATGTATGAACACATAACCTCCATACTATGAACACCGGGTGCAATCACTTACACAATTTGACATATATGAACACCAGGTGTAAGAACGGTGCTTATATAAAGATTTGGGAGCAAATTTTTAACCAACGACTCGGTAAGTTGACATGAGCATATATAAAACAGCAGATGATATCACTAACAGAAACCGGTATTCATATGATGGGGGTCATTAACATGAACATATACAACTGTGAACATGATGAAGCCACGTAGGAAGAGAATATCATAGAAAATATATGAACACATAACCCCTATCATATGAACATCAGGTCAATCACTTACACAAATTGACATATATGAACACCAGGTGCAAGCACTTACACAACTATAAAGATTTGGGATCAAGCTTCAAAAATGACACTTGTGTTCATATGACATGAAGTTTCGTTCATGAAATGTTATATACTCAAATGAGAGTAGTAACATGAACATAATGGTTTATGATTCATAAAAGTCGGTTATATGACCATATGAAATGGGTCGTGCATTGAATTCCATCTGAACATGTGAATTAGGTACGTATTAATAATTAAAGAAAAAGTTACCAACACAACATGAACTACAAAAACACAACACACCATGATGAACATAATTTCGATTAAAACGAGTACAATAAAATATTAATCCATTACGAAAACATTCGCTTTGGTTATTTTCTTCACTTCCCGAACTCGAACTCAGGTTGTCACCATAAACCATTTTAATCTTCTCAAAGTTGTTGAGTTCTTTTCCAATGCGTTTATCCATAATAGCTTGAACGATACCGAAGATTTTACTACCGTGTTTCCTTCACGAATCACAGACTCATAAAACAATAAAAATGGAAGATTAATATTAAAAAAACAAAAATATCAATATAAAAAAATGCACATTTGTATGGATTTTATGATTTTGTAACTCTCAATTAATAATATGGGAGTTACATAAAAAATGAAATTACTCGACTACCCTTGGCATTAAGTTGTAAGCTAGATAAAAACCTAATGGAAACATGAATTGTGATTGGTTGAAATGGTTTGTATAGTTAACACAAAAACTTTGGTTAACGTTTAATCTCATTTGAACCTGACCATATATATATGCATATATCCACATAATCAAATAATCATATAGACATTACCTCGGGTGTATGACCAAGATCCGTTATCATAAAAGGTGTCATCCCCGTGAATTAAAAATTGAGTCCTTGACGTATGTGGGTTTTTACGTCATTGGAGGGAGGGGTGAAGGATTCACGTCTCTATACCAAATCAGAGATTTCAATGAGGAAACTTCGAGCTCCGATCAGATTGGAGATTTTGTCACTGTGAGATCCCGTCCTTGTAGGTTTGTGTGCAGAGGGAAGGGAAGACGATGTCTATGTGGCACGGAGATCATGGTTGGTCAGACGAAGACGATGTGTGGCCGAACGAAGATGATGGTCCTCGTCTCTTCTCTGGTGGTCGCCAGATAAGGGCTTCACCGCCGACCCCTTTTCTAGAAAAAAAATAATCGTCCTTGGGTCGTGTGTATGTGTGTATATATATATGATGTTTTTTATTTCATTAACTAAAAATGAAAAATAAGTAAAAAGACTAAATTACCCTTGAATTTAATTGGGTTAACAAAATCAGAAGGGACCCAATGATACGAAACTGCATACAAGAGGTACTAAATTTGTATTTATTTTGATTTTGAGACCACCATAAATAAAAAATTGTAAAACACAGGGACCAAATCCATAATTTACTCTTTATTCACAAAACAAAATGTAATTTGCCAAAATGTGCGAGGAGAATTTCACTCGCAAAAAATGATTTTGCGATCCATAAGATTACAAAGCCCAACAAGTTTTGGGCCTGGCTACAATACAAGAAAAAGCCGAAGGCTAGGTCCCATTTTGCCATTCACTTCGCTTGCAGTTGCACGATGGCGATCTTCACCTCTGTGATACGATGATCGGTTGAACTATTCTACATCAAAAATTGCGTCTTAGCTCCCATTTCTGCATGACCTACCTATAAACGTAAGTATTTCTAGATCTTCTACTTTAGTTACGATAACATTCTTCATCTATGTTTGATCCCTTGGTTGTTCATTCTTGCAGCGATCACATTCATCTGATGTAATTGTAAATGCAATATATGATTTTGTGATCCATGTTATACGACGTATGAATTAATACTGATCGAATTAGTTTTATTTTGACATCAAAATTGCTATAATTTTTTTTGATCACTTTGATAATTTAATACTACCCTGTCCCTATTATCATGTTTATAAGAATTGAAATTGATGTACTCACCAGAAACGAAAAGATTGTATTGATCAAATTCATAGAAAAAACTGTGAACAATTATGCGTAATGTAACTAATGTTGGATGAAAGACATACTCACCTGACCTAAAATTGGTGATTATGAGAAGTATTATTATCTATACAGAGGGTAATTGTGTAGTGGAGATGTAAGCCTTGGACAATATGTTAGAAAAGATGGGAAGGCTGTTTAATATGTTAGAAAACTAAAAGCCAAAAGGATCATTCATTCTGGGATGAATGGTGTTAGTTTTAAAGACTAATGTTGGTTTAAATTAGTGACGAAATCTAAATTTCTGTTGAAAGTGGTAGGTTTGATTTCAATTTTCAAAAGTCAAATTATATTTCCCCAACATAGAAGGGAGGGAATATCTTATTGGAGGATGGTTCTAATTATATTTTGAAGGAAACAAAGAAAGTTTGGCGTGTCTCTATAGTGTCCTCATTCAAACAGAAATGCTATTTGTTTGGAACTGTTATGTCTTCCATTTGTGGATCTCATTAGGTGGTACTTTTGCTGTATGTTTCCATTTTTTCTTTTCCATTACATTAACTGTTTAATATAATTTTAGCATGGTTAAGTGGCTAGATGATTTCTTTTGAACTATTTTGACAATTGTCACTGATTCCCTAAGCTTTCAAAGAATCAATTAATGAAAAATTGAAATGATATGGTGACTGTCTCGTGCTACCGGGTTCATCCTGATGTATGCTAAAAATGATCCTTAAAGATTCACTACTTACAAAGAGAGATGAAAATTTGACTTTTCAGGTTATTTTAGTTTCAACTTTTATGAATTAATTCTTATATCTTTCAGAAAATTTGACCAAGCTATGATAACCTTTTATAACAAATACCAGATATACAAAATTTTCTGATGCTGAAATTTGTAAAAGTGTTCATTACGATTTTTTATTTGAAATGGCATACGTTCAATACTTAAAAGTTAACTTGCATGTCTTTTCTGAAGGGTGTAATACTATAATTTCAAGTGTTCTATTATAGTAAGTTATTAACACCATTATGTTTGATGTATGATCAGAATGGCTTTGGCTGCTTGTCAACAAGCAACAGGGTTCAGCTGGGTGCAAAGAAATATTGGTGATTTGGGTTCTAGCACAACATCAAGGAAACATCATTATGGGTTACCATGTAAACGTGATGGATTTGATAAGGCATCACCAAGAAGAATCACCTTGCCACCACAAAAAAGTATGAATCAAACATCTAAATATTGCTCTTCACTTTGTGATCCAACCACATTGTCCATGCAGACCAAGAATTATGAACCATTGAGGATGACAAGTAAGTGATAATTCAGAATCAGAACCATATGCTTTAATCTTTTCCCTGCTTTGTGATTTAAATTACAGTCACCCAAAGGACATTGTTCCCACCATATGGTGTCCTTAAACTTTGTAGTGGGTCGAAGCACAATTTTTTGATCAATTATGTGCTTTATTGAGTTACTCGAGTGATTGTTCTTCAAATTGCCTTGTGTACTCTGCAAGACAGATGAATCAACTCTGATCATAGTTCGACATGGAGAATCAATGTGGAATGAAAAGAATCTGTTTACTGGCTGTGTTGATGTGCCCCTAACAAGAAAAGGTGTAGAAGAAGCAATAGAAGCTGGCAAGAGAATTAGTAAAATACCGTTCGACATTGTATACATATCAGCATTGGTTCGTTCTCAAATGACAGCAATGCTTGCTCTGACCCAACACTGCGGCAGGAAGGTAGTTCTATAATTGTTTTTTACTGAAATTTACCGACCATCCTGATTCAAATGAGATACAACAAGAAGCGTTTGATGCCAAACATGAGAGGGCTTAGGTATATTTAGATGGATTCTTGTTAAACTTATAACTAATAAAATCACCTTGTGAGTTCCTCAATATTACTATTTTTCCAAGCAGAAAACCATTTATTTTACATGCATGCCCTTTTTCAGAACACACTAATGAAGAAAACATGCTTTGAGAAAGATCAGTTGTAATATTTGACATTCTATCCCTTTGGATTTTGCAGGTTCCTATAATCATTCATGATGAGAATGAAGAGGCCAAAGTTTGGAGTCAAATCTACAGCGAAGACACCAAGAATCAGTCCATTCCAGTTGTTAAAGCATGGCAATTAAATGAGAGAATGTAATCTTGTGTGTCTTTCTATCTCTTCCTCTTTCTCATGTTCAACATGTGATATAAAGATTTCCGCAAATCAATAAAATGAGATTGCTTTCTTTCCTTTTCTGTTTTGGGTTTTGCAATTTTGTTCCTGATTCCCATCTTCCGCTCTTCTTTTTCTGTCAGGTATGGTGACCTTCAAGGTCTTAACAAGCAAGAAACTGCTGAAATATTTGGTAAGGAGCAAGTTCACAAGTGGCGTAGAAGTTATGAGGTTCGCCCACCCAATGGCGAAAGCCTGGCAATGTGCTTACAACGAGCGGTTGCCTATTTTAAAGACAATGTAAGCTGACTCTGTTTCTTTTACAGTTTCAGTTGAGTGTGGTTGAAACATCTTTAGAACTTGATCCATCATGCTTCAAACTTAGAACTAACCAAGTTTAATATAAAATGTTGCTGAAAATGTTTGTATTTATACTGCACAGATAGAACCACAACTTATGGCTGGAAAGCATGTGATGGTTGTTGCCCATGCAAATTCCCTAAGGTCTATTATAATGTATCTTGACAATCTAACTCCTCAAGAGGTAATAAATCTGTCCTTGCAGAGTGTTTATGTCTTCCACAGTTCCATTATGTTTTTTGATCATGTTATTTTTCCTGCTAAAAAGGTTATCAACTTAGAGCTCTCTACTGGGGTGCCAATGTTGTACATCTATAAAGATGGAGAATTCATCAGGAGGGGAAGTCCTGCAGGACCTAATGAGGCTGGTGTTTATGCTTATACTGCGGTATCAACTGCAAACTTTATCTATCATGATATATACTTTTTTTTATATGATGCCTATAATTCCGTTAAATATCTAGGTTTATTTTGTTTTAATGGTAGAAGCATAGCTTACACTAAGTAGTTGTTGAGAAGTGTGTTTTATCAAGGCAAGAATAGACCCTATGCAATGTGTGCCAACTAGATGAGAATTTTAGAGTCTAAATATATGATAACTGCAATGCCAACATAAGAATGCACAAGCATATATATACCTTAAATTTCCAACACTTAAACAACTTCAATAGGAATGGGTTTTTTGCTTATACTTCTATATCAATTCTTGACCTCGTCTACTAGATGCACTCTTTGTGTCTATTTGCTACTAATAAAATGCACTAGAATCTAGGTTATTATTACTGTTGTTATTATGAAAATTGTAGTTATTATTATGTTAAGCTTCCAATACAATTAACGTATTCTAGAAGAAAGAAGGATTAAGGGTAATTGTGTCTTTGTACCTTGATTAATGGGTGGCAGGTTGTTGGGCATTGTGGTGTTCAGTTGAGAAGTTTGTGAAGGAGTGTATATGGGTGGTAAGGGGTATAAATGAGAGGTCGGTGTTCATAGGAAGATTACGACTTTTCTATAGGAACAATTCTAGGAGAGAATCAACCTCTCGAAAGTTGATAACCATTCAATATAACCATATGATTTCTTTACCAATTTCTTTGAAAATTCAAGTTAATCTCGTCAATTGGTATTAGAGCACGGTTTTGGGCCATGACACATTCAGTGCAATCACAAATTGAAGAGATGGAGGGAGGTTTGGAGACGTTTTTGACTAGGATGTTGGCAATTGAAGAAAATATGCAGACAATGTTGCAACAAATGGCAACGATGTTGAGATTACAAGAGGGGAGCACAAGGAGGCCAAAGTGAATAGTGAGGCACCGGAGGATTGGGAACAACAAGGACGAAGTGGAGATTAGAGTGGAGATGGAGGCTCGTTCTTCGCGATAAAGGGGCGGTGTCTGGAAACTGTTCTCGACGACAGTGATCCAGACGGATGGATCTTGAGGACAGATCGGTATTGTCACTCAATCAATTGACAAATGAGGAAAGTTTGGAGGTGGTTGTGATTTCATTCGAGGGAGATGCTTTGAGATGGTATCGGTGGGAAAATAAGCGATGCCTGATTCTTAGGTGGGAGGAACTCAAGGGTTTAATTCTTATTTAGTTTCAAACTACTGCCGAGGGTACGTTGTACGAGAAATGTTTGGCCGTCAAACAGGAGGGAACATTAGCATAGTATAAACGAAAATTCGTACAATTGGCGGCCCCCATGGATAGCATTCCCGAAGACATTTACGTGAGTCAATTCATCAATGGTTTATGACCAGAGATTAGAGCGGAGGTTTGGTTACTCCACCAAACTGGACTAAACAAAGCGATGGAGGTGGCTTCGAGGGTAGAAGAAAAGAACAAAACAGTCTAGCGAGGGGGAAATTTTAAGTGAATTTTCACAACATGGAAGGGTTACAACGAAGTTAGAGGAGAAGGGAGAATCTAGAGGCTAGAATAAGGTGGGGGAGTAGGAAATAAGGGGCGAAGGAGTTTTGAAGATTGTCAGATGAGGAATTACAACAAAGAAGACAAGGGTTGTGTTACCTCGTGATGAGAAGTACGCTCCTGTCCATCGCTATGAGAAGAAAGAACTCAGTGTTCTAGTGGTACAAGAGGTAGCACATGGGGATCGAAAGAAAGGGCTGAATCAAGTGAGAGAGAAGCAGAATTAGCCAATATAACTAAAGAGCATGATGTAGAGGTATTTCTTAATTCAGTAGTGGGATTTACCACTCCCAAGATGATGAAGGTGGGAAGTCTAGTGGGAAACAATAGGTGGTGGTGGTAATTGATAGTAGGGCATCTCACAAATTCATTTCAATGAATTTAGTGGATAAGGTGGCTCCTACGTTAGTGCTACCGGAGGGTATAATACTTCAATATGGGAATGGGATGTAATGGAAGGTCAAGGGGTATGAAAAAGGATAAAGATTTGGATGCAGGGAATTGAAATTCTTGAAGATCTCTTACCCCTCAAACTAGCTAATTCAGATGTTCTATTGGGAATACAACAGTTAGCTTCACTTGGGTCAATATGAATTCTTAAAGATCTCTTACCCCTCAAACTAGCTAATTCAGATGTTMTATTGGGAATACAACAGTTAGCTTCACTTGGGTCAATACAAGTGAATTGGTAAACACAAGTTATGAATTTTAAGTGGGGAGGGGAGCAAGTGAAAATAAAGGGTCATACATCCTTAGGAAGATCCTTGGTTTCGTTGAAAGCCATGATGAAAACGATTCGACAAGAGGGGGAAGGGATATTGGTGGAATTGGGGTGCATTGAGGACAAAAATAGAACATGTAGGTTGTACTAAGGCAATTGCATATGTGTTGGAATTATTTGAGAAAGTATTTTAAATTCCTAAGGACTTTACCACCGAAGCGGGGAAGTCAACACACAATTAGGCATGGCAACGGGGCGGGGATGGGGCGGGTTTTGTAATCCCCGGCCCCGACCCCGGTTTGTAATACCGTCCCCCGGCCCCGGCCCCGGTCCCCGGCGGGTACGGGGATTACCATCTCGTCCCCGGTCAAATTCTAGATTTCCCCGGTCAAAACCCGGTAAACCCCGGTCAATCCCCGGTCAAAACCCGGTAAAAAGTATGTTTTAGTTTGATTATACCGGGGATCCCCGGCCCCGACCCCGGCCCCGTTTCGAGTAACATTCCCCGTCCCCGGCCCCGTCCCCGGTTTGAGTCTACCGGGGATCCCCGGCCCCGGCCCCGAGACCCGTTTTAGCGGGGAATCCCCGTCCCCGTTCGGGTCGGGTGAACCGGGTTCCCCACCGGGTCGGGGCAAATCACCATCCCTACACACAATTATATCGAAAGAGGGAGTAGAGCTGGTGAACGGTCGTCCATATAGATACCCATAATTTCCATAAGATGAGGTAGAACGGTTGGTGAAAGAAATGTTGGAGGCTGGAATCATCCAAAACAATAAGAGCACATTCTCGAGTCCGGTATTGTTTGTGAAAAAGAAAGATGGAAGTTGGCGTTTTTGTATTGATTAGCGAGCTATGAATAAAGGTATGGTGCCCGATAAATTCCCTATTCCAATAATCAATGAACTATTAGATGAATTATATGGAGCCAAGTATTTTTCCAAGTTGGATTTAAAAGCTGGGTATCATCAAATTAGAATGCATAAGGAAGATGTATACAAAATGACATTTCAGACTGATGAGGGGAACTATGAGTTTCTAGTAATGCGCTTCGGACTTGGGATGCCCCATCTACTTTCCAATCTTTGTTGAATGAAGTGCTTAAGCCATATTTGAGGAAATTTGTACAAGTATTCTTTGATGATATACCAGTGTATAGCAAGTAAGTGGAAGAATCTTGTGGGCATTTTTTAGGGTGGTTTTTTCAGCAGCTGATACACCATCAGTTGTATGCAAATAAAAATAAATTTGAGTTTGGAAGAACGAAGGTTAGGTATTTGGGCCATGTTATGTCACAGATGGGAGTAGCAATAGATCAGTCCAAAGTCGAAGTGATGTTGCAATGGCCACAACCACTAACTATTACGCAATTACGGGGATTTTTGGGATTGTCTGAATATTATAGAAAGTTCATTGCGGTGTACGGACAAATTGCGAGACCTTTAACAGATTTACCTAAAAATACACAAATTTGGATCGAGTGAAGAAGCAACAACTACTTTTGAAGTAGACTTTAACGTCAGCACCTGTGCTAGCTTTGCCTGATTTCAGAAGCCGTTTGTGATCAAAACGGATGCTTCAACCAGAGGATTTTGGACGATGTTAATGCAAGGCAAGCGTCGAATGGCGTTCTAGAGCCAAGTTTTTGGCACATGAGCTCGGCAAAAGCCATTTACGAAAAAGAATTGATGGCATTGTGCTTGCAATCTTGAAGTGGCGTCGGTACTTGTTGGGGAGGAAATTTAACATATGGACGGATCAACAAAGTTTGATGTTTTTGTTAGAACAACGAGTGATTGAACCACAATATCAGAAGCGGGTTATCAAGTTGCTTGGTTATGAATTTTACATTGTATACAAGTTGGAGGTGACAAATAGGGTTGCAGATGCATTGTCATGCAAGGATTTGGAGTGTTCTGTGATGTCTATGATGGGAGGACCTCAAGAGCGAAAGGGAGGTGATTAAGAAAGAAGTAAGCGAGGATGGATTGTTGGGAAAAATTAGAGATGCTATTAGGTAAAACAGAGCACAAAGGGTTTTTCGGTGCTAGGGTTGTTGTGCTACAAAGACCGTTTTGTTTTGACTCGAACTTCTTCCCTGATGCCAATGATTTTAGAGGAGTTTCATAGTTCGCCATTAGGAGGGCATTTGAGGGAAGAACATAGGTTTCAAAGAGTGACAGCATAATTGTTTTGGATTGGAATGAGGAAGGACATCATGGAGTTTGTGAGAAGTTGCATAGTCTGTCAAAAGAACAAGATTTTAGGAGGGTCACTCGTAGGGATTGTTGCAACCAATTGCCTTACCAATGAGAGTATGGATTGAAATTACCATGGATATTGCAGAGGGTTTCTAGAGTCGGGATGGATATCATTCCGGTGACAGTAGACATGTTGAGTAAATTTGCTCATTTTATGCCTTTTAAAACACCCCTTCAATGCACAACAAGCAACTGCGTTGTCTACCAAAGAAGTTGTACGTTTACATGAGATACCTCAATCAATAATTACAGATAGGGATAAAGTCTTTTTGAGCCATTTTTGGAAGGACGTTTCAGGTTACAAGGAACGAAGCTATGTTTTTCTATAGCCTATCATCCTCTATCAGATGGTCCATTTGAAGTTGTAAATTGTTGTTTAGAGCAATATTTATGTTGTTTTGTCTCGGAGAGACCAACGGACCGGAAGAAGTGGCTGGGATGGGCGGAGTATTGGTATAATACCACTTTTCA